ATTGATCCAAATTTAATATTATTTTCATACAAATTTATTCTATACTATTTAGATTCAAAATTTTTAACATGCTATACTATCAAATTCAAAACAGCATGAAGTAAATTTTTATCATCAATGTATAAAAATTATAAAAAATAATATTACATTTGGATCAATCTAATTAAATATAAACTATACATATTGATAATTAATAGATTTATTAAATTTTAAAAAAATTTTATTTTGAAAAAGTATTTAAATTTAGACCATTTTAAATTATTTCAAAGGTGATTCCCCAAGGAGCACTGAATGTGCTCCCATAAGTGTTTGTTTAAATTAATGTGATCAACCTAAAGTATTAAAAATTAGATCGGTCATTGAATTGGCTAAGGTCAGGGGTTAAGGGTCAAGGGTTCAATTGGAGTTAAATCGAGGGTGAACTCAAATCAAACCGGACATAATAAAATAATATAATTTAAATAAAAACAAATTCTCTAAGACTTAATATTTTATACAATACCACATACAAGTCCAACACAATCATCAAAACATCATTAAAAACACAAGAGTTAAAATATTCATCCTTACAATCCTTTAATAATCAAAAAGTCTAAAGCTAATAATAATCAACCCCAAAATCTTGATTAATTTCATTCCAATTTCCAAGAGTAGGAATTGAAACATTAGGAGATGATTGAGAGAAACCAAAATCACTTCCGACATCATCATTCAAGTGTGGATGCTCTAGAATATTCATATCTTCTTCACCTATTTATGACAAGAATTAACATTAATCATTATGTAAAAAATAATTATGTATTATGCAATATAAACATGTTAGTAAGTGTGAACCTTCATTATTTCTCTCAAAAGTTTATTAAGCTAAACATTTTTATTATGCATAGCACTTTTCAAATTAGTGACATCATCAGCATCAAACTCTGAAACGGGCTCTTGTTCCTTTTCAGCAATCCAAAAATCTATTTTGTCAATAGATTCATAATCAATTAGATCAAAACTTATATTTTCTTTTCAATTGGCTCCTTTAATGAGATCAAAGCAATCAAATATAAGTATATATCTATCATGAAATAGTAATAAAATTCTTATATATTAAAAACGTTCATAACTTTCATTTTTACCTATGCTTTAATTGTCGATTGTAGTTTGTAAAGACTAAATCATCTAGTCTTTGATGTTCTAATTTATTTCTTCTTTTAATATGGATGCGTTCAAACAAGCTTCAATTGCTCTCACAACTAGAAATAGAAGAAGTTTGGCTAAGAACATGCATTGCAAGATTTTGCAACTCTGGAACAGAACTTCCATAAAACAACCACCATTCATCTGCAAATAAAGGACAATTAGTTATATGCTATATGATAATTAAAATTACTATGACCACGTTAAATGGAGAACACTTACAAGGGTCTAGTTTCTGTGCTATTCTATGACATAAAGCTTTATCAAAAAATTCTTTATGGTCATGATACAAGTTCAACTGCTTCATCATCACAATATAATCAACATCTTCATTTTCAGTTGACTTAAACACTGAAAGCATAGCATCCATTAACCTTCTTTTGTAAACAAAGTAATCATCATACAAGAAGGCAGGGTTCAACAAATACACTGCTACATAAAGGTTAGTCTTCAAGTGTTTATCCTATCGGGCTTGAATAATATTTGTGTAAGGCTTGTATTGGTCTTTTTTATTATTGAAGACTGCCTTAATGTTTTCTTTTTGCATGCCTTCATAAACATGAGGCAAAGAAGACTTCTCATCTAAATCAACAATTCTCAATAACTTTATCAGAGGAGACACAATCTTCACAACTTTAAGACATTCATTCCAAAATCAATTATCTAATATGATAGCACTAACAATTATTCCAGCTTCTATCCTTGATAATTTGTGATCCACAAAATGCTTATTAGTGATTAAAGCTTGCAAGTGATACTTGTGCATAAATATGCTATGCATTGTGATAAATGTTGTAGCAAACCTTATCATACCGGGACGCATAATTTCTTTCCAACCCTTTCTTTTCCTGAGCCATGACAAAAAGATCATATGATTGTAAACAAACACAGTGATCTTTGATGCCTTTGTTGCAAGTTATGACACATGAGACATGCTTGCAATTCTTTCAAAGTGAGATTCAAGCAATGAGCAACATAAGATGACTAATAAATACTTTTATATTTCTCTTCAATCAACTTGCCACATGTTACATAATTAGCAGCATAATTAGTCACCACATGCAGAATATTTTTGGAACCAACCCACTCATTCACTTTAGAAAATAATGAGAATAAAGTCTCGGCATCTTTCACGAAATCAAAAGCATCAACAGATTTCACAAATACAATGCCATGTGTAGAATAAACAAGAAAATTTATCAAAGTCTGTTACCTCACATTTGTCCAACCATCAGCCATGAGTGTACATCCATAGGTTTTCCATTTAGATCAGTGACTCTTAATAAGAAGTTGACATTCTTTTTTCAAATCATTCAAAAAGTTGACTCTAAATTCATAAGCATTAGGACCCTTAAACCCCCGGCTCAATTGAAACAATAGTATCTATAGCTTTTTGAAAGAAAGGGCAATCTAATGCATTAAATGGAATGCAATTGATGATAGGTCATTTAGCAATGGCCATCTTAGCATTGCGTTGTGCTTCTTTAGTCACAAATGTACTCTTGATGCCTAGTTGGGAAATGAGAGTTGTCCTAGAGGCAAAATAATTTTTAACTAGAATAATAGGAGGTTTCTTTTTATTGGAACTACTCTCAGGAATTGACTTAGATGGAGTAGGAGTAGTTGGTTCTATAGCATTTGATATATGTTCCCCCATATCTGCTTGACATCAGCAAGTTTTCTTTTCTTCCCACTTTTCAAAGATTCTTGCATTTGATGACAAACATCATAAGGAACTTTGCTGCAAGAAACTACATTTCTAGAGATACTAGCAAGATGGTGCTTCAATCTATTTATTTCAACTCCTTTATAACTTAATGCACAATAAAGACATGCATACACATTTTTGTTGTCCTTTTTTCTCAAGGCAATATGTGCCCATACAGGATCTTTTTTCCCACAAATTAATAGGGCCCCAAATGTTGAGTCATTATGACTAGCAGGGGGATTATTGGAATTGGGGGTGGGATTCTCAGTTCCATCACTATTAGGATTACTTCAAATATCCATGATATACCTTTAATCTGTAAGCTACAATAATTTCAATACAAATAAACATTTGGGTTTGATGTAAAATTGCAGGGGGAATATGTTCAAATAATCAAACTTAATTCTAACAACAACAATTAATATAAGATAAATTAGTACAGTAGTGTATATGCATGCCTTCCCATTTATACGCATCAAGGAACTGAAATATTAAGATTATCGTAAGCAAAGCAAGTAAATCGAATAAACATGTCTTTGGAATCAAAATTCAAACATACTAGGATGGTGATACATAACAAGTAATCAAATCAATGACCAGACAAAATCAATGCTTTCTAAGTCTAACTACTAGAATTATCAGATATAGAGCAACACTAACATGCCAACACCAAAATCGAGTAGGGCGGGAGGGAGAGAGAGAAGAAGAAGATACACTTGAAGTTGGGAGGGACTAAGGGAGAGAGAGTAGAAATAGGCGCGAGAAATAGTTGAGAAGATATACTTGAGAAGAAGAAGATTATTCCTGAAGCTCAATGACGAAGGTTGAAGATGGAAGTTGAAAATGAAGGGTGGAAGATAGAGAATGAGAGATTGAGAGCACAAACTAGAGACGTGAGTCTGTGAGAGGTAGAGACGGAGAGCAGCATAGACCAAAGAGTGTGAATCTGTGAGAGGCAAAGATGGAGAGTAGTAAAGACTAGAGAGTGTGAATCTGTGAGAGGCAGAGATAGAGATGGAGAGCACAAACCATTGAATCAAAGAGTGTGAGTATATGAGAGGCAGAGATGGAGACCATAGATAACAGACTAAAGATGCGAGTCTGTGAGAGGCAAAGATAAGAGACCGGAGAGATGAGTTTATGAAGAGTGGAGACTAGAGAGATCTGAGCTGAGAGATCGAGAGCAAGAGTGCGAGACTTAATTTCAGCTTTAGGGCATGTGTTTCAGCGTTCTTCTTACTAGAGATGTATCAAGATTTAGGATCGATTCAAGCATCAACTGGGCTAGTGAGCTCCGACCTTTTTTTTAATTTTTTTGGGTCAAAAATTTAAAAATATATCAACCCGCCCAACCCGTGGGTTGCGTGGGTTGATCCGAGTTAACCCAGGTTAGACATCTCCAATTCAATCAACAAAATCAGATTGGAAAGACAGCCGGATCGCCAATTCGACTGGGTGGTTTGGTCTAATTTTCAATACCATGGATCAACTAATAAAGATTAAGTTTGGCAAAAAAAAAATTGACAAATATTAAGAAAACTAAATACATGAGTCTGTTTGAAACTATTTTTATTTATTATTTTGATAATTGATATTTTGTAGAACATGTTTTAAAAATAAAAAAATAATAAAAATAAGTTTTTTTTATTATTTTTTGTTCCCCAAAACAATAATCACAGAACATCTAAAAATTATTTTTATTTCTCTATTCTCCAAAACAATATTTTATTGTTTTGTTCTCTAAAACACTTTTTAAAAATACATTATTGTATATATTTTTTTGTTCTCTTATTTTGAAGAATAAAAAACTGTTCTCAAAACAGATTTCAAGCATACCCATATTTCCTTTCGAAAATCTTGAGATTGTTTGAAATTATTTTTATTTTATTATTATAAGAATTGATATTTTATAAAACATGTTTTAAAAATAAAAAATAATAAAAATAAATATTTTTTTATTTTTTAAAACACTTAAAAATTATTTTTATTTTTTATTTTTTAAAATAATATTTTATTTTTAAATTTTTTGAAAATACACTACCGAACAAATATTTTTATTTATTTATTTTGTATAACAGAAAAACTGTTACAAAAATAAGTTGGCAAAGAGCCCCTTTTCTCTCATTCTGTCGTTTCTCTCCCAAATCCGTCGTGTCACTCAGTGTCTCCTCCATTGTCGCCGTCGCTTTGTCCTTCCTGCGCCTCCTCAGTCACAGTTTCGGCGTCTTCTCCGGCCTCACCTCCGTATTCTGTCAAGCGAGGTAAGTTCCTCTTCTCTGGCATCCTCTCTGGTCACTTCCTTCTCCCACAGTTTACTCTTCTTCTCCCCACTTCCAGTCGTGCTCGTGTTCCGTTCTTGCCTCAGTCGTGTAGCCCATTCTCCGTTGGACGCTGTCCACCGTTGTCAGCCTTGCGTAGTTGATCTCGGGCAAGCAGTGAAGAAGGTTAGAATCCTAGGGCTTTTTCTACTCCCAAAATCCGGTGAGATTTATTTGTTCAATCTGGTGTTTTGAATCTAGATTTGAATTTCCCCCCCCCCCGTCATCTGTTTCCACTGTTCTTGCTTTGTTTTAAACTTTTCATTTTAATTTGGCTTTGAATCTGGTCGTGTAATCGTTGTATATTGACACCTTTGGATTTGGGAATATTTACTTATTGAGTTCATTTTTTTGTACTAGTTTTTACTTGAATGGTGTGTAATTGGCTATTATACTTCTCCCCTCTTCATTTTGATTACTAGCGACTTGTATGATTTGGATATTGTTTTTTTTTTCTTTTTCAATGTTGGATTTGTTGTGTTTTATGATCTTGTAAATGACTTGGCTCGACTTGTGTCAAAGTATCTGGAACAAAAAAAAAAAAATTAAATGACATTATATCAACTATGCATATTTCAAACATTTCAGTGGAGTGTAGTATGGGTCCGTCTATGCATGTGTGCATTCGCAAGCATGCTTGCTTGCATGGGTGTGTTTGTGCCCCTTATCTCCAAAGTATCCTTGGCTGGTTTCATACAGATATGCTGGTTAAAAGAGTCCTGGTTAATGGTAGGATCATGTTGTTTGAGTCGTATACCCTTTTACAAGAGAATAATGTTTATGTTTATGCAGTATATATTTGTGCTTTTGAAAATGTTTAGAGTTCAAATATGCTGAGTTTAAGGATAGTAACTCATTAATACCTAATTTTATCAATCATTACGTGATATTATTGGGTATGAATATTATCATGTTTGATATTTGATGCTTCTTGAATCACGAATTCAAAAATAAAATATACTAATTAATATATTGTTGCTTCATTTGGTGGCCCAAGCCTTTTGTTTTCATTGGCGAAGCCTGTTTTTAAACGAGCCCTACCCATGATCAGGTCTCATGAAGAGGCAAATAGACTAGAAAAGCCTTTTCCAACTCAATGCAGCATTATCTTTGGTTCTTTCGAACCCGCTAATTTCTGGTTTAAATCTTAACCATGCAGCCTAAAAGATTGCAGATATATAATTTCAGTGTGTGAATGAGATCAGTTGGTGTAGCTTCACTTTCCTGTTGCCATCGTCTTCTGCATCATCACATTTCTTCATAGAATTTGCAGTCCAATTTCTCCAATCTTCTTGACTTCCAAGTACAGGAAATTGTGTAAAGCCTTTATTGTTGCTGGAGGAGAGGCTTTCTTCCTGCACTTGCTTCTACGTTGCTCTCTATCTCCAATTCCTTGCGGATGAAAATGTATGTTCTTCCTATTCATCTACCTTATCAGTTTTTTTTTTCCCCTCAGCTTGAGATAAAACAGTTTAATTATTTGTTGCAGTCTAGAGGCCAATGCCGGTGCTCTCACAAATTTTGAGGTCCTTGACTTTTTACGAGCTAAAGGAGCATCAAAAGATCCAACAAGGGTTCTTGCTAAAGTATCACAGTCTGAGTACAAGGTTGAAGAGAAATCTCTATTAATATTTTCTCTTAATAAAACTTGCAGACGCTTAAGTTTGATGACTGTTCTGCCTATCTAACAGGTCTACGATTATCTGGTCAATACTGCTGCTTGTGATCAAACTAGAGAGAATGTCAATGAGTTCTTGGAAAAATGCAAAAGGCATGACCTTGCAAAGGCTGAGATTCTAAATATATTAAACATTAGGCCAACTGCTGCTGTTGAGGTTTTTCCTGTAAGTACTAGGTTTGCTTTGACATCAATTTTCCAAATTATCTCGGCTCTGCAACTTTTTTAACTGTTCAGACTGTCTTTATGGTATTGGTTTGAACCTAAGGCTTTAAAATAGCCTACTTAGTGGATGCAGAGGGTTAAGTTGTTTACTGGCTTTTGCTTTGAAGTATAGGGTTTAAAGATATACGCAACACATTTATTAGGGTGATTAGCGTAGCTTGCATTTTTATAACTGCAAAATATAAAAGAAAAAAAGCTACTTGTCTCTGAATCATATCAAACTGGAAATCAGTAAGAAATACTTGGAGGAGGGTCAACAAGTTTGGACCATCATGCCTGCAATTTTAACAGGGTAATTACTTGTCTTCGGATCAACATCCAATATCTTGAAGTTATAATCAGTACTGTTTGAGTTTTTGTTGCCACTTAGCTTTTTTCATCAATTGATGAATCTTCTTTTGGGAAGTCCTGAGATGTTGTTTCAGTTGGAAGCTTAGACGTTGGTTTTTATTTTGTTTTTAAAGAGGAGAATTAAATTCTTGACACTGAAAGCAAACACTAGTAAGCATAATCTGAGAATGACTAAAGATGACCTAAGGTACAATAAAACCGTTGAATGCCTCAGTTTCTTTTGTTCCACCACCTTGGTAAGTTGGCTAACTTTATTGGAATTTGACTTATCGCTGTTATTACTCATTTACCTGTGGCAGTATAAAGGTGCCAATTTTTGTTGGTTGAACTTGAAGTTATCGGTAGAAATAGAAACTAATTGCTCTTTAAATCAATTAGTTGGCAGAAAATTAGTTGATGTGGTTGTATTTTGTTCTATAGTCAATCCTGTTGCCCATTTCTGGTCCTTCGGTTTGCAAGTCCACGATACTGTTTTTTTAAACCATATGTTGTGAATTATAATTTATTGTCGCACGAGGTTTCTAATTATATGTAAGAAGGAACACTTTGCTGGTTTCCACGTTGTTCTCTAGCTTCTGTTCCCAATCTCAGGGTTTTTTGCATAGACCCCAGGTTTTATCAAGGATGAAGAGGGTTCAAAGTTCAAACCTCAAAGTGTGTGTTTGGATTAGAATTCGTAAAATAGGGGCCTGACTCAACTGCAGAACAAAGAAGCAGGATCATGGTCGCTTTTGCTGAAATTTGAGTTTAGTAGATTTGTATTTCCTTGGACGTGGCGTTAGGGAAACCAACCAAACAAAGCTTATGATTGATTTGGTTCTAATGTGAGTTTGGGTCTGATAAATAGAAAACCGAACATAGCTAAAGACGTCAAGAATTAGTGCCAGAAAATATAGTACCGATGGAAATGAGAATAGAATGAAATCTTTAGTTGGGAATAAGAGACGTCCTTTGTGTTCCTAGATAAGAGTAATAAAAAAAAATTATTTAACCTCTAGGTCTATTTATAAGAAACACATTATTATAGTTTAATTATAACTATCATGTGCTTTTCTTGTAAATAGGCCCGGAGGTAGTATTAGAAATGAGATTACATGAATTTAATAGATATTGCGTATCATAATTTTTGTATGAGAGAGAGAACAACCAAACGGGATTTGTAAGTTTGGGCCATGCTGAACAATTAATGAGTTGGTAGGACTGACGTATTATCTACTGCTTATAACAAAAATACTTGTGCCTGAATTATTTATTATCTTAAAAATTAGTGTGGCATGCTATGATTGACAATAATTTAATAATTCTTTACGTAGAATCTTGTTCTTGCTCCTGGATCCTCACATCAGTCAAGATAAATCATCACCTTCTAAAGACTATTTAAGCAGTTCTGAATTCTTTATAAACTCCAAAATGGGATAGTATCCGTAGCCTTTGCTTAGTTGTAATCAGATCTGTTTATTTTGATCACATAGATTATAGAGAAGTGCGAGGATCGTTTCCCAGATGAAGAGATTGAAGAAATAGTAGAGCTGGTGAAGAAAACATTGCCGGGCAAGCCGGAAACTGCAGTTATCGCTCAGGCTACTGAAGAAACCGCCGCTTCGAAAAATGAGAAGGATAGTGAGACTACTAGTCAAGGCCAAAATCAGGATGAGGAACAAATGGACACGAGTTGAGACTTTTATTCAGCATTGCATGATTAAGAGCATTATAGGAGCTTAAAGCACGCTGACTAATATAGCGTTCTAGTCAAAATATTACTAGGTTGATGAAACTGAATGGTCCATTGAAATCACATGATGGGGCACTTTCAATTGTGCCGATGTTTGGTGACTTGGAAATCATTGGGGACTCCAGGATTTGAGAATCCTTTGACCATACTGGGACGCTATTTCTCCCTGTTCTTCATGAAAGCTCGTGTCACTCATTCAACTGTTTTATTTTTGTGCATAATTACAGTTCGCTTTCCTCCTGAATTAGTGAAAACTCTTTGATGTTCGTTACGGTTATGACTTGTGACTGCTCCACAAATTTCTTGCATTTGGTCATACACGATACTAATTGTGAACACACACACACACACAGGCGCATTATTAATAAATATTAATAATTGTTTTTATTTAATACTATTTTTTATTGGATAGAGTCTACGTAAAGTCTCAGATCTTTCTTAGTAGCTAGCTCAATAAATTATAATCCTACACAAACCTATATTCATCATAAAAAACGAGTTTCTTCCTGGGAAACTCAGTCCAGACGTCATTTTTCGTTGTTCAACTAACCAACTCCACGCATACCAGCAGCTGTTTCATGGTTCTGAACAAGTTCACCATTAACCACGTAATCCTCCCACAAATTAGCTTAGGATAAATCTGATGCTTCTTCCACTTTTAGGTTCATGATACAAGACTTGACCTCCTGAAACCTGTCTTCTGACAGAGAAACATCAGAAAGAAGCCTGCATACATATGCTTCAGAAGCAGCATCAAAATCCTCCCTTCTCTTAAGCACAAAGTGTCCACTGATCTCCCACACAGCAGGATTCACCTGAGCATTTATGATCTCCTGGCTCACTTGCCCCAGTGCTCGCCTCTCCGCAAAACACTAGTCATACAAGGGCAAAAACAAGGATGAATCTTCTGCTAATAGAAGGTAAAAAGAGGAGGAAACTCAAAGCTTGGTTTTACAATTACTGGGCATATCTGTGTTTTTTATATGGCCATCCGACTGCATCAAATTCAAGCATTGTTGAGTTTAATTAGGAGTAATTCTCCCAAAAGTATTTTCTATATTTACAAAAACTCAAATTCAAGCATTGTTGAGTTTAATTAAAAGTAATTCTCCCAAAAGTATTTTTTATATTTACACAAACTCGAACCCACTATCTTATGCTTAAGGGGTTATACCCCCCCTTTCAATAGAACCAACGCCTATTGGTTGTGCCTATTTAGTTTTTGAAAGGGAGAAAATTGTTTCTTGTTAGTCTTCTGGCAAAGTATCTCAAATGCTGGAAGAACTGATATACTATGAGTATGCTATTTGGGAATGAATTTTTACTCCCAATTTTTGGAATTAAAGCTTGTTATAAACCTAACAATTCATGGGCCAAATTATTGGGTTTATTCTAAAAAGATAAATCTCCATATTTGGTGTAAACAATGTTAGGTATGGAATACATAAATGAACAACCTTCATGTTTTCGGTCAGGTACATGTCGGTTCTTCCATTGACATCCAATCAAACCAAATTGGTTATATGTTATAATTTGACCAAACAAACATAAATCTGGTTTGACATGAGTTAAGAAGATTGATGTGGTGTTTGGTTGCACAACAAGAATGGTATTCCATTTCAATCATATAAAACTGAGATATGCACTCTTCATTATACTTGCATTATCATTAATTAATAGCAACTGTCCTTTATATATCCTTTTACTATGGAATATGAAGGACATTTCTTATTTAAATTTAAATTACTTTTTGCATTCTAATTTTCTTTCCATTTCCTTTAATTCTGCATACTAAATATTTGGAGAGGAATACCACAAAGGAGAAGAAGACGGGACCAGAGAAGGAGTATTGTCAAAAGAAGCATACCTGAAAGAATAGAAATATCCTCTTCCCACAGTCAGAGATGAGAACATTGAAAGGGATGTTATTACTCTGAAGGAAAACAAGCCTACAAGCAACAGCATCAGACAGATCTTGTATAGAATTTCCACCCTCAAAAACTAGTCCTCGAACTGGATAGTTCAAGAGTTGGGATATGCAAATGCCTCGAGAATGAAGTCCCTTGTCTACCGGTATCCTTAGTGCAGGGACTTTCTCAACCGGCAAGGGTGCTACTAAATAATATGCCTGTATCATAATATGAATTAGCCAAGACTCTGAGTATGAATATGAGAATATCCTTTGAACTGACTATAAGATATTCAAGTTCCAAGAGGGATGCGAGAGTATACTTGGAAATGTAGATGATTGATAGTGGCAAAAGCACCCAGACTATTGTAACCCACTCTAAAATAAGGATCAGCAGCTTCTTTAGCCATATGCATAGCAAGCAGGAAGCTGTCATGGTCAATCCTCTGAGGCAAGCAATCCAGGATACGGGGGATGAGAAGGACATGTCCATACTCAAGCGGGCTCACCTAATAATCAAAGTTCAGTCATTAGTTAGCCAGCCGTTTAATCTTCTGTAACGTGCATATAGTTTCACTTGTAAATATGTTGGGATTGAGAACAGAGAAAAATAAATGAAATTTGAAGGTGTCACATAGACATTCTGTTGATATAAATCTAAATCAAACAACTCCTTCCCTTCCATCTTCCATTCTCTTCAAACCAAACATATCCCGGAGTTCATTAATAAAACCATAAACAAATCTCCTAAAAGCAGTAGTTATCATGCAAAATGTATTTACTCCAGCAGTCCAAAGTTCTGTAAATATTCTCATAAAGCCAAACTTCTCAAAAAGATAAAGAAATGGACCATACGAACATTAATTGCAACAACATTGGGAGACGTAGATATCTTCTCAACTAGAGCATCTGGAACAAAATGACTCTTGCGGTCACTGCTCTGCTCAAACAGAAAGAGTGCTTCTTCTTGTCCAACTTTTGTGAAATTGAACTTATTATCATCAAAGGGCTGAAGAACTTGATCCAATCGAAACTCAGTAGGTCGTTTCTTCAGGAGGCGCTCTTCATTCAGTTGTACGATAAATCCATGTTGCCCAGGAATGGACTTTGTCTCATTGATGGTCACATCATGCCTGAAAAGCCCCCGATTCTTTCTATTTTCCCACTCTACAAACAAGAGATTGTGGAGGAATGATATTTCAGAAGCTTCCTCAGAGGATTCCACCACCCCGGTTTCTATGGGAACATTGCCATCTTTCTTGTACAGATAAAGAGGAAGCCTTGAGACTGAAACCACAAAATCAAAATATGAGTTTCTCAGACAAAACACCCTTACCATATAGTCTCAAGCATTTTTCACTTACCCTCTAGATACATGCTATTTTAAGAAATTTAATGGTTAAAAACTAGTCTTAAGAAAAAGCTTTGTAAAACACAAACTACTTCTGTCCCTCTCCATATCAAGTGATAAGATAAAGCAATAACCATATGCATGTGTTTTCTACTCGCCAATTCCCATAGTCTCCACTCTTCGGATCTTTCGACAAGTAGAAGTTAACAATCAAATTCACTATCCGTCAAATTTTTTTATTTTGGTGGTATAAGCTTTTGAAGAATTCAAGCAATATTTCAAGCAGAAAGCTAAGGAGTTAAAACGGTATAACACTTCTATCCCTCCCCAATTCAAGTAATATGTATAAAAGAATAAACCATATGCATGTATTTCCTACTCACGAATTCCCATCGTCTCCACCCTTTGGATCTTTTGGCAAGGTTAAGTTGATTATCAAAGTCAACATCCTTCACAATTTGAATTTTGATAATATGAGCTTTTCAGTATCTCGAGCAACGAACTAAGTAGCTAAAAGCCTAAAACGATAAATGAAACTCAGTCAAATACTTAGATTGATACATTTTTGCTCCATTTTTCTCCCTGCAGTATCCAAAATATGTTTTTGATTCAAGTAACGGTTTAAAAACGGTCATTGAAATTGAAATTAACCAAAAAAACTTGATGATCAAGTTTTAATTGAAACAGAAGCACGAGATTCTCAAAGCAATACCAGGTAGGCAGCATTTTCCGAGGCAATGGCGGCCACAACCAAGGGATCGCTTTTCAGAATCACCTTCCTGGTAATTGGAACCGACATTGGCGACCCTATTGATGGTCATCTTAAAATCCAAAAGGCTTCCCCGACAACAGATCAAGACCCAGATCTAACGAAAATCCCGACCAGCAAGGAGAATGTCGGAAGGGGTGCCGCAGCGGAAGAAGTGCGTCCCGGCCACCGTGAGGGGAAGAAGGGGTTGGAACTTGGAAGTGTGATTAAACGAAAAGCGCAAGCTGAAGTCACAAGTAAGCAGTTTTCTTTCCCGAAATTCAGCGGCAAATCCGTTTGTTTGACGCGAACTAATGCGGCTACATTTATTTTGAAACGCTTTGGGATTTTGCCGGGACGGTGCATTTTGGAACTTCCAGAGTCAAGGAACGTACATATTCTAATAGGATCCATTTCCATCTTGACTTTCTTGGGGAAATCAAATTCTGATATCTTTATCGTTCATGGCCTCTTTGCCCGCGGCCTTCGTGGATGCACTGTGAGACAGAATTCTAATTTTCCAGATGCATAACTTCGTACCAAATTTGTCTTCATTCGGGGCAGAGGGATGGATTTTGGGAGTTTTTTCATCCTGAAATAATCTAAATCATCTAGATTTAAGCTAGACGATCTAAATTTAAGTATTTTTTTTTATTTTTTTAAAAATAAAATTTTATAAAATTTTAAATAAATCAATTAATTATTGATATGTATGGTTCATATTTAATTAAATTAGTCTAAATTTAATTTTTTTTATAATTTTTATAAATTGACCATACAAATTTACTTTGCACTATTTAAATTCAAAATTTTTAACTTATCATACTATTAGATTCAAAATAATTCAAAGTAAACCTATATAGCTAATTTATAAAAATTGTAAACAAAAAGTAATATTAAGTTTTGATCGACCTAATTAAATATAAATGATACATATTGATAATTAATATATTTATTAAATTTTATAATTTTTTATTTTAAAAAATTATTTAAATATGGACCATCCAGATTAAATATAAATAGTTTAAATTATTTCAAAGGTGACACTGTGACAAGCACTAAATGTGTTTGCATGAATGTTTGTTCAAATTTGATGTGATCGGAATAAAGATTTGGAAAAATGACAATCAAGTTTTAAAGGGAGTAATTAAATCCGGTTAGATCCCAAGTAATTATAAAAGGTCAATAAAGTTTCATTTTTTTTTTCACAAATCAGAGTTATAGTAGAAATGATTAAAATGCCCAGTAAACTCCTTCTCACTATTAATGAGAGCTACATGTAAGTAATGGAAAGACACGTTGAAGAATACCCATTCTTAAAACAGAGTTGCCCTTGGAAGAGGTAGAGTTGCCTTAATTATTGACTCAAGTATGCTCTTATTCTTTGCCTATGTGAGTTTGTTTGGTTAGTGCGTTTTAGATAAGGGTTTTTTTTTTGTTTTTGCAAATCTCTGCATCTAAACAAAAAGATTGACTCAAGTAAGCTTAAATTTCTTACAAAATAACACTCGTAAGAAAAAAGATGGAATGCTTTTTCGCAACTGAACATGAAAGGTTTTTTTTTTTTTATTTCACATTTCTAAAGATTTGGCATGAAGATTTGATAGTTTGCAACTGAAACTGTAAGAATTTATTATCGAGTGTCCATATTTTAAGATGGAACGTTGTCACTATCTCACGAATGCAAAAATCACTGATGTCAAAAGTAACTTATTTTTGAGTGATATATTATGACATTTTATTTTGCTTATTGTAGGTTGATGTTAAAATTTTTTGTTATTTTCATTTTGGTGAATATATTGTAAAAGATATGCATGGGACAATGCATTATGATGGAAGGAGTTGTAATGGAAGAATAATCAAAGAAAGAATGTCTCTTAAAGGACTTGTTAGATTGATTTCATCATGCTTGAATTGTGATTTAAATAGAATAGAGTTAAAATATAGAGTTAAAATACACAGTAAAACTTGATTGTAATGCATTTTTAAACCTTAAAGATGATAAAGGGATAAATCAGTTAATGAAGTTGCATGATAATTTTGCTCATGTGTATATCATTGGGGAGATATAGAAAAATATAGAAGTAACAAGATATTCAATTAATGGGTAAGTTTTTTTAATAGTTGAATGATCAATATTATACTAATATGAATATGAATGTTGATAATAAACATGATTTGAATGGAAATGCAGCGCAAGATGTTTAGCTGGGAATTCACATGCTACACATGATCTTGAAGTTCTATCATGTGCAACATAAAGTATCTCGATACTAATGTCTGAGCTAAATATCTGCAGAAGAAAGTTTATCATTATTCTCATTGCCATGAAGCAGGTTATATACAGAAGATGTGTAAAAATCTAAATTTAAGTTGATGTTATTGTAAATGAGTTACCCCATGAACTTGGATTTAGGTGACATACATATATGGGTAGTTTTAGGTTTTTTTTCTTTTTTTTGCATATAGCAACCTCTCTTTTGTAAATCCAAGTTGATGTTTTTATAACATGAGATTAGATCAACTTGAATTTGGTTGACATATATAGATTTATGTACATATATATTAATAGTATTAGGAAATTTTTTTGGCGCATAGCAGTCCCTCTATTGTACATCCAAGTTCACATTTTTGTGTTGTAATATTCTAAAATTTAATCCAAGATTAATTAAGTTAATTTAGAACAAATGAATACTTTTAGAGAAATATTTAGATATAAATAATTTTAATTAGGAGATTATTATTGAATTTAATTTAGACAAAATCTTAAGTTATACTTTTTTTAGAAAATAGAGATAATAATATTATTATTATAAAAAAGAAGAAAGAAGGAGGAAGAAGGAAAAGAAATATTATATTAAACAAAAAAAAATCTGAGGGGGAGGGCCAGACATTTTCGCATGTGTGTTTAATGTGTACATATATGAAAAAAAAAACAAGAAAAAGAAAAGGAGATGGGAACGGCAATCTGCAGAGTGTGTGTGTGAGTTTGATATTATATATAATAAAAATAGAAAGAAAGAAAGAGGTAGTGGGATAGTGGGATCCATACTACTTTATTTCAAATCCCTCTTCTTTGACTTGTTCATTCTCTCCTCCCAATTCCTTTCATTCCTGCGCATGCGAATAGAAAGAGAGCGAGAGCCAAAGTGTTCGTCCGTTAGTGATGGGAGCTGATTTAGAACGTGGAGCACTATAGTAGAATATTTTGGTTGAAATTTTTAAGTATTTTAAGATTATGTAAGTATTTTAAATATTTTTTTAGTTAGATTTTCCCTTAAGTTTTTGATTTACAGATTATGAGAAATTTAGGGTTTGAAAGATGAATGAATTTTTGATGAATAAATATTATTATTGAGGTGGTTGGTAGTATAATACATATCCTAGAGTATTGTTTTGCCAATAGAATTGGATTTTGAGGCCTTTGAGTTCATCCCTAGATCTTTATGGGTAAATTTTTTATTAAATTTGAAAATATAAATTGTTTTGTTGATGTTTAGTGGTTATTTGAGATGAGAAATAAATTATTATGACTATAGAATAATTATTCTAGGCTTGAGAACAAGTTTGCAATTTTTAGGTATTTTTGAGTGCGAAATTTTGAAAAAAAAAAAGGAAAATTTTGATATTCAAAAATTGTTTGAATGATGATTTTAACCATACTTTAATAAAAATTATTGTAAAGGAGGCTATTAAATTAAGTAGATATGTTCAAACATATGAAATTAAATTTTACCACTCAAAAGGCTAAGACTAAGGTTTTAAAAAATAAAATAAAATAAAATAAATACTTAAGTATTGGAATAGTACAAGTAGAAATTGTGTTAATAATATTATTGACACATTGGGATATGATTAATTTCCTTTTAGCACTATTCAAGCTTTGAAAAGTTTTGAAAGTGTTGTAACTTAAGGGGTAACCTTTGACTTCTCAAAGGTTATGATAACCGGTGAAAATCTATTTTATACATTTGTGTGTTAATTAATTATTTATGTTTGTGAAACAAATGAATACATAAATATATATATATATATATATACACACAAATCTTGAATTGTTGTTTGTAATGCATATTGTGCCTTCGTTGAGACCCTATAATTTGTAACCAAATTAATTGTAAAATGATTTGAGTAATGAGATTGATAGTTGATAATTATGTACATACTTTTGATTATAAATTATGGATTATGCATAGTGATGAATTGTATATGAACATGTTGAGTTTTATGTGATGCTAATGTAATTTATATAGTAATATAAAAATTGCAACAAAAGGCATTGAAATATGATGATTTTTCATGCTATTGAAGCAAGAAAGTTGACGAGCATGTGGGATAATTGGGAATTACATATACAAGTTTTTGAAATGCATTTTCTCATGAGCATGATCATATAGTGGGAGTTCATCTTAGTGAAAGAGTTAGCTGTTGTGCAAAATCCATATGGTACTTGGCTATCAACCGATAATCCTAAGGGTTATAGCCGCTACTTGCCTTGTAAAGTATTATAGCATTGTTTCTATTAAAGGACTTAACCCTACTAGCCTACCTAGAGTTTTAGGTAGAGCTAGTTTTGGGTATGACATCCCATAGTGTGTGATTTGAGGGAAATCATGTTCATAAGTGTGTGAGGTAACCTTGGCCTAGTAGCCTCTCATGATATAATTAAGGCATTGGATAGTCTCACCATATGGACGATCCCTTCCGATTGTTGGCCCATAGATTTCATATCAGAGGAAATAAGGTAGGATACATGGAAGAGATTGATCATGCATATTATTATTATCATACCATTTAAGTGATTGATGGCTATGTTTGAGACTATGATTGTAATTGTGAAAATGAGAACATGTGGTAAATATGTGAATAATGTATATGTGGCCATTTGTACCAATTTTGTACGAATATTCATTACTTATGGGCAATCGTGCTAATTTTGTACTTCACTTTATTTTTAAGAATATTTACATGAGTTAGATGTTAATGTGATTAACATGTCCTTGATATGATTGTTTATATGGTTATCTTGATGAATTTATTAGCCACTTGCATTCATATTTAATTATCATGCATTGTATAATTTTGATGTACCTTAGTTATTGAATAGTTATACTCACCTCTCTCTTTTAACATATCACAGGAGCTACTTCATTTGGGAAGAGCAGAGGAAATGAACATTATGCCAAGTGATAATAATCACTTCTGTGGGCTTTTCTCTTTTTACTTTGATATGTGTATTTAGTTTGTGATATTGCCAACTAGAATAATATATTCTTGATCCACTTGCATTATGGGTTTTGTGTTGGGTGAAACTATATTTTGGATTCTTAGGAATGTGATTTGATGCTTGTGTTTATATTAATGGGCTAAAATATTTGTGCAAGTGAAAATAATTATTATTTGCATAATTTGAGAAGTTGAAAATTGTTATGGTCTCCCTTTGTGTTTTGTTGTCTAAGGGTGAGTAGTTGATATTAATCATATATGAATGAAAAGAAAAATTCATGCATA